GAAAAAACGGCACCATATGCTCAGCGTCTTTGTTTTCGGGGCGAGGCCTGCCACCCCAACCGGCAAATCCCACGGCCAAGAACGAAGCTGAAATGCGTGACCACGGCTGTCCCCGGGTTGTGCTTTGTTGCTGTTGTTGTTGTGCTTTTGCGTCCTTGTGTGTTGTTGTCATTGTCCCGGCGCGCATCCTATTAGTGTGTGGCGTTCCTTCTTGGTTTTTCTTTCTATTTCTGTTTTTTTTAGTGTTCTTCTTTTCGAGGTTGTAGCCTTTTACGATAAATATTCCAAATCAAGATGTTTTTTTGGTATTTTAAGATGCCACTTATTTTATTGCTTTGGTGTGTAAGTGTCTTGTTATGTGACGTTCAGAGCGCTGCCTTTGTGGAGAAAAAGGGTTCCGTTCTGGAGATGGTCTTCCTTATCAACCTTGTGGGCTGTCTGATCCCTGGTGTTACCTGCCTCTTCTGTAGACGTGATGCCTGGCGCGATATGTGGCACACCGCAATTTCGTTTTACCAAAGTACCGCCCTCTTGAAGCTGATTTTAGCTGTGTGCTGCGTTAACGTACTTGCTACGGGGCTGATGTTTTCTAGTTTTACATTGGCGGGCATGACGCAAGCGTATGCCATCAAGACGATGGAGCCTCTCGTGATGTGTCTTCTTTCAGCCGAACTTATGCAAGGATTGATACGAAGATTTGTGACAGATGGGAAAGCTGCAAAAAGTCATCCTTTTTATGACGATCCACACGGCGCACCTTCGAAAACTATTTCTTTAGCCACATGGATTTCCGTTTTGTTTGTATGCATTGGAGCTCTTCTAACCTCCGGGTCTTTAAAACGCAGTGGGGAGACCTTTAGTAGCGCTGCCGTAATAATCTTTGCTTACACACTTGTTTTTGTTAGTAATTCTGCGCTAGCATTGCGAACTGTACTATTGAAGCCATTGCTGCATACAATCCCAAACGACGGTTCCATTTTTCCGGCATCGGTGGTGCACTGTTTTATGATGTTTTTGGGTTCTATGGTGTTGCTAGGTCCTGCTTTGGTATTCAGAGGAAAAAATATGATGGACTATAATCTTGACATGTGGAAACAAATATTGGTTGTGGGGATTAGTTATGGGGTGTATCAGGTCTTCAATGGTGTGGTTTTGTTCTTTGTTACTCCTTTGTCCTATAGCATTTTAAAGCAGGTTCGCGTTGTGTTGATCTTTTTCTTTTCAGCTTATTACTTTGGAAAAGAATTTGGGAGTTTTGCGCAACTTATTGTTGGCTTACTGCTGTTGTTCGGTGGAAGCTATTGTTACGTGTTGTACTAGTGGATATGTAACTAGTTTTTTTTTTGCTTGCTTCGCTCCCAAAGAAAGGCAGAGGATATGTGGGACTAATGTGTCATCTCTTCTTTTTTTTGTAATTCGTCGCTTGCAACTTTCTTCTATAACCTTCA